ACGAATTTGGTTTTCCAAGTAGGACCACAAATGCTCTATTGGATTAAGGTCAGGTGAATTTGGGGGCCAAGACATGACTTGAAAGTCACTGGAATGTTCCTCAAACCAATCCATGACGATTCGACCCTTAGGACATGGTACATTATCCGGTTGGTAAACACCATCCCCCGCAGGAAAAACTGTTGCCATGAATGGGTGAACCTGTTCTGCAACTATGTTCAAGTATCTTACAGACGTCAGGGATTGTTCTATGAGGACTATGGGTCCTAATGTGCCGCATGAAAACATTGTTCCTGGGCGAAAAAACCATGAAAACCTGGGCGAGCCCATTGTTATAGATGGAGGGTGGTCATAATGTAATGGCTCTTCAGAGTATATATTTGTATATGTATATATTGGTTAATATGATTCCTTTCACTGCACTAGAGAGAAATTCCGTATTTTGCTGAAAAAGTTTTTATTTAACAGGATTCATCTGTATGTACTACAGAGAAATTCTTTGGTTGAGATGTTTTCTTTGTCTATACTGAGGAGATATTCTGCTGAATATTGATAAAAACTGCATCAATTTAACATATTTTTTCTGTACAAGCTACAGCACAAAAACAGTAAAAAAATCGAAAATCGACTGAATTTTTTTGTTAAGTCTACAGTTTCTTTTCAGTGTAGATACTAAAAGAAAACACAAATATTTTTAATTCTAAATAGAAAAAACTTCTTTGAAAAAAACGGGCTAAAAAGCGGCAGAAATTTCAGAAAAAAGTAGCAATAAAGAAAACAAAGGAAATAAAAATAAAAATATGACCACCGAAGCCGACGTCTTCAGGGGGTACCGGCCTCGGTAGCTAAGAAAAAAAAACATTTCTAATTGAGGGAGAAGCAAATGCCTAAATTAACTCCCTCAGTACCCCTGAATTTTTTGGTAAGTCTACAGTTTCTTTTCAGTGTAGACTTAGCAGAGAAAGTATGTGAAATAACAAAAAAATTCTTTTTTGATGAAATTATTGTAAACAGTGAAAATAAAGTTTTATTTAAAACTTATTATTATTCGTTTTTGACGATAGGAATTTCTGGCCAATAAAATACTTAATTATTTCAAAATTATTGTAGCAAAAATTTAGGCTAGTGCAGCTAATTCTTATACAACATTGTCAAAAAAGTTTATTAATCATCATTTTCAACATATATAGCATTTTTTTATTAAACATAGAACGTTCGTATTTATCTTGAATAATACATTAGCTAACTTGGATAAGTACTTTTTTCAATAATATTTTTTCCTTGCTAAAATTTTTATAGTACAAAAACATTGGTTACTTTACTTTGCGCACAAACAATGCCTTGACAATGGAAATTTCCGGGGGGAGCAGATAGCATTTCACTTTCATGATGGACATTGTTTTCACGACTAACTTTATATCTATGGAAATAAAGTTATTTTCACCTGAGATCTTCAAGTGGAATTTTGAAGTTTTTCTTAAACTTGTGGAGAAATAACTATAGTCACTTCTTCTAGGAAACAAATTTCGTCAGAAATATTTCGTCATTCTATTTTATCTCACTCCCCCCCCCCAAAAAAAATAGAAAATGAAACTCGTAGTGCTTAATGCACCTAACTTTTTTAATAATCACTTTATTGATGACACCATATAATACGTCTATGTCGCCTTAATAGTACAAGAAAGACAAATAGAGCGAAAAGATAAATTACATTCATTCCGGAAGCAGTATTGAACACGTGATCTTCCTGGTACAAGGTTGACTGTTTGACCACCACACAGAAGGTTGGCTTATTGTGTCATTTTATTTTCGATCGTCTTTAGTCCTCCTCTTCACTAGTCTCGTCACTCTACTTAAAAAAAAAAATATCCCACAATTCACCACGAGGAGTTTTCGAATTAAAGAAACATTTTCGTCATACTTCTGCGAGTTCCCGTTTCGTCACAAATCACGTGATTTTGTAACGAAATAATTCTTAAAATTAACGAAGTATAATCCAAGAATTGCTGAATCGTCAAAAGTGAGAGTATTATTCTTAAAAGAGTGTTTTCGTTACACGAGAAGAGAGGTACACACGGATTTATTTTCAGTAAGCAAGCACACAATAATAATAATGATTTAATACTTTTAAAAAATGGAATTCAGCAAATTTTTATCAAATTTTTTTTAAAAAAGGAAAAACATTTGATGTTGACTGTAAAGGAAAAATAAGAAATTCAGTTCCCTTGAATTAAAACTAAAGAAATTTATTTTCAAGTAAAGAAAAAAAATGCTTCAATATTTTTTTTTAAATGATAAAAGGTGGTACATCAAGTTTTGATAAATGATTTAGTACACGATAAATAATTCTACTCTGAAGTATAAGAGGTAATGAGGTAATTAAAAATCATTACTCGAGTTTGTCTTTGGTGATTTATTTTAGGCCTTTTTTTTATAAAAAACTTGAGAACTCTAACTTTACCATGATGTTTATTACACATTAAAGCGATCTTTAATTACGTGCCTCTTTCATAATTCAGATATAATTCTAAAAACGGCTATTTCTAATAAACCTTTATCATAAGAACAGAAAAATTAAGGTGATAAATCGTTTAAATATCGTTTATTTTTATTCGATTAACCAGAATTTTGTTTATTTTCACCAGAAATGCCATAGCCATACGATGCAGTAATTAACCAGGATTAGTTCGTCGGATGCATAAATATTTTATTTAACTATTTTTAATCAATTTAATAAATCTAATTTATTGCTTAATTCTATTGAAAATTTTTTTTCTACGTTGATTTGAAGTACAGTAAGTTTAAATTAATCGCAGCTTTTATAATTTGAATTTTGTCCCACTGAGAATTTATTTTTAAAATAAACGAAATATATTCAAATAAAAACTTTATTATATTCTCATAAGAGTTAGGGATTTAGGGAACCTACTGAAAGTCGCGATAAAGTATAATTTTTATTTTTGCCGCTAATTCCAGTTCCATATTAAGAAATACGATTTCATAATTATCATAAAAAATAAATCATTTAAAATTTTTGTTTGTAATTTTTTTAAATAACGTTTTTTTTTATTCATTACTTTTTTATGAGAAAAAATCCTGCATTTAATATAATTCATTTTTCCAAAACCAAAAAAAAAAAAAATAATAAAAATAAAAAAAAAATTAAAAAAAAATATTAAAATAATAATAATGATTTTGCTAAATTTCTATTGTATTCTTCAAATTTAAAAATGAATAATAAGCATTCCTTTTATTTTGTCAAAAGCAATAAAATAAGAATGTTTTCAATCAAAAGCTATCTGAGACATTTATGCCAGCAGGAATTCGGATTATTCTCATAGACGAACTTAAGTTGGGCGGTGTTGGTGATAAAAGGTCAAGTAGGGCAGAGAAGAATCTCCATAAGTTATAAAACGCACCTTAGTTCGTGATAACAACATGACATGACATCGGAAGATATGACTACAAAAGATATCACGATAAAGTTTAAAAGATTCTAAAAGTTGACAATCTAGAGATAGGTTTCTATATGGTTTCGAACCTGTTATGCGAAAATATATTCTTACGTAACGACCTGAATATAGTATTTGACCTGAATATAGTAGTTGATATTTTTACCCATCAGGCGAAATTACAGATATCTAAAGTGTTGTAAATTATCGACATATAAATAGGATTTACCATTAGCATGCTTCAAGAGTGTTTG